CAAGTAGAACTGAAATTTAAGTACAAAGAAGGTATTTAAAATGTTTTTCTTTTTTCTTTGAGAGAGAGTTCGTGGCGGTACCTAAAAGATTATATAAAAATCAACACCTCAAATAATAATAATAATAATAAACTGAAGTGTTGATTTTTATAAAACTAGTTTTTAGTAGATCTAAGAAGGTTGCGTGTATATTGAAGATTGTGCTGTAAATTAAATAAAATATGCAATATCCACAAACAAATTATAAGAAATGGTCAAATGGTAATGATATTCAATCACAACAAAAAATACATGTTTGAAACAACAGATTAAATTTTATATACACAATTTACAATTTTTTTGTTTGTAATGATGTGTACAAAAGTATATTTTAAAGAAAAAGTTCTTTGCTGTTTCGGAAATGTTCAATGTCTAAAAAATTGTCTGCCTTTGATTAAAAATGTTGAATTTAACTTAGCCAAAAGATTTTCTATGAAAGATGTGTGAAAAAGTTTGTTGTGCAAATTTTTCTAATCTCTCATAAGGGAACTTTGCTTCTTTGCCGGCACATAATTCCGTGTGTATCTTTCGTGTTTGTGAGTCTCAACAAATGTGGTGAAAATTCGTTTACTATTTCTATTTATAGTTTTCTTAACAATGAAATCTGCTCCAACGAGGCTTGGGAGCTGTGACAAATTTTTCTGAGAAATGCATGGGCGAATGTTGTATTTTTTTAAGCCAATAGAATTTCTTGAAACATTTAAATTAGGGATGAATTTGTGAAAGATTTTTTTTATGTCGGTTGAGCCTATTTTTGCACAAATTTTGACTCTTGTTATGGAAATTTCTCAAAGCTTATTTTTTTTTTTATTTAACAACCAATGAAATTCAAGAAAATGTTTGAAATTGAAATGAGGGTTACTAAATGCCCTTTACAGTAAAATGTTGTTTCTGTCTTAAAGATAATAGGCTAAAACTAAAAGATAAAAGAAATTTTACGCATTTCAATAAGGCTTTTAATGTCATTTTAGAAAGTGTTCTTACAGCAGGTACCTTGAAAGATTTGCAAAAAAAAAAAAAAAAAATGAGTGTATATGATGAAAAAATGCTCAAAACTTAAAAATTATATAATCAAAATCTTTGTTATTATTAAGAGGAAAGGCCAAATGATATTTTGATTATATATATATTTTAAAAATCCTTTTCAGAACCTTTTTCCTTGCATTAACAGGTGACCATAAACTAGTACAGGAAATTTGAGTTTTTTTGTGGTAAAAACAACACTGATTTGAAAATTCTTTCAGCAAATTGACAAATGAATTATCTTAGAAACGTTTCTTTCTAGAAAATTGAAATTCATTTTTGTAGCAGTTCATGTTTATATTAGTTATAAGGACAAGTCCTTGGAGAAATTAAATCTTTCTTTTTAAATTATTTTTTTTTTTGTCAAAGAGGATTCTCAGTTACAGAAAATATGAACTGAAGTGTAAAATAAAAAATGGAATCTTGTCAAAATTAGGGAACACAGTTGCGGTAGAGTTTGCTATTTGTTTTTACAAGATGTTTTTGTTATTCTTAACATGACAATAATTGGGTTCACTGTTCTAGTTGGTACAAGTAACTTTAAGGTTTGATTGCTGTTTTCATATACTGGCTTTAATTTATTTATTGAGATATCCAGGAACCCTCAAGATGGATAGATCTTTAGCATCATGCTACCACCTTTCTTATCAATTTTTGTACAAAAATAGATCACAGAGCTTATTCAGCTTAGTACGTATTTTCAGAAAACCTCAACTTCTGATTGGTCACTTAATATTTAAATCATGTTCGAATAACATTGACCCTGTTCTTGATCTGACCAAAAAATAATTCAGCCAAAATCTGTCAAGCCTCTGTGAGCCTACCATGTGACCAAAAATAGCAATAAATATGAAATGTCATTCATCCTCAGTGAGCCGATCAGAATCCTTTGAACTTGTCACACAGTTCCAGGCTTTACGTTAAAGTTCCTTAACATGATTTCAGCCTGAAAGAACACTCACTCACACAGCAATATTTTATCACGAACAATCAACTCAAGTTTTTCCACATTCAACTTGTACACACTTTCAAGCTCAATGTTAATTATTGCAATTAACATAAACACAGCTTGTTAAGAACCACTTACTCCAACTACAGAATATTCTATTCAAACAACAAGTGAAAACAAATCAAAGAGCGACAATTCCGTAAACCTTAAAGTCGTGAACAATATTTCTCTACAAACTTGAACTGTTTATTTTTCCTTAAATTACAATAATACCCAAACACATTTTCTCATTGTACAGACCATTCAACAATTTATAATCTATCAAACCAGAACTTTGATAACATTTCAATCTAAACATACTTTTTTAAACTACTTCTTTACTCCAGTTGTACCTCTTGATTATATAAATATTTTATTCATTGTTGTGCAAAAACTGTTGTTTCTCATGTTGTTCTTATTCTATGTTTGTTGAATACTGAAAATTTAATGTGAGAGGAAATTGTTAATTTCATCACACTGGCTATTTATTCAACAATTATTGATCCATATAATTTAATCAATTAACACAACCTCCACAGATCTATGTTCACAGAGGTTGTGAAGCCATTACTTGGGGAAGATAGTTTACCAGTGATTGACTAGAGATGAACAAATCACTTACTTGACAGGAATTAAAATGTGAATCATGTAATCAATTTATGAATTGAACAAAATGCAGTACCTCTCTGGATGGTTATGTGTGGATGTACCAAATGAAAGACTGTTCACAGTACACATTAAATGTAGCAATAAAAAGACTCTTTTTTTTTTTTTTTTTTTTTTTTTTAAATCACAACAAAATATGGTTAACACTTAGTTTAACTTAACAAGTAACTGGGGTTCTGTAATGCAATCCCCATACAATATCCTTTGAATAACTAAGTTATTTTAACTGTTATTTCATAGAAAGTGAATAATATGTTATTTTAATTATTCATTTATCAATAAACCGAAACAAATTAATTTATATTTCCAACATTGCTTTTAAATCACACATATCAAGGGGTCGCTATTCTTTACATGGAGATAATCTTGATATGGGATAATTGGGTTTGCTGTTCTTGACATGGAAATTTTTGGTTTGCTCATCTTGACAAGATCCAGAAAATACAATAAAACTAAAACATTATTTAATTAGAAAAGCTTTTAATTGATTTTATGAATTAGATAAGTTTTATTTATTTATTTATTTATTTTGTAAAATTTTACAAAAAAGAAATATCAAAAATCAGAAACGCCTCTAGGAAAGCTAAAAACTGCCAAAATTATTATTATTAACTTTCTGTCACCAAGAAGGTAGGAATTTCTTTTTTTATTTTGTAAATAAAATTATTTCTTTATGAAACAGAATATTTTTATATTGACAGTAATTTGAAAATATTTTTTTAAAATAATAAAATGAAGTAATATTTTTTATCCATTGCATTTTTTAAAACTTTTTTTTTTTTTTAAACTGTCATGAAATATTTAACTTCACCAAATCAAGCATTAATTATTTTAAACAAAAGAAATGCTACTATAAAAGAAAACAATTGTGTAAAATTGATAAAGAAAGAGTACAAAGACTTATTGAATTGATACTATTTTGATTGCTTTTCACTTGGCTTTTTTTTGGCTTTTTTCTTTTTAGACATAATTATTTTAAACTTTTATATAACTAATAATAGGTAGGTAATTCAGAATTGTTTTTATTTTCTATATCCCAAAATAATCCAGCGGTTGTGAAAATATTAAATTAAGAAATATATATTTCTGATGTGAAAACATTTTGAAATTTTTCAATTCTTTCAATGAAAATTTGTCATCATCAGCAAACTGGAAAAATTTCAAAATTGCTCTGAAAAATTAAAAGTAATTTTTTTTCCCCGAAAGAAGAAAAAGATTTTGCAAGCACAAACTCTTAACAGAAAATTTTTTTTTTGAATTTTATTGAAGCCACTCTTTGAGTGGAGTTTAAGCTCCTAGGGATTTTGGGCTTTTGGCCTTTACTTTCAACATCCTATGTTTTTATAAAATTTGAAATAATGCAATTATTTTATATTTATTCAAACTTTTTTTTTTTGCACAACAATCTTGGTGTAGTTTACATTTATTTTGTGCACAATTTTTATTTTCTTTTAAAATAACCATTCTTTATGATCACTTCACATAGGGAACATGAACTATGAAGCATTTATATAGATTTTTTATTTTCAGAAAAAAGACTTTCTGATTTAATATTGCAAAAAAAAAAAGGATGTTTACTGAAATAATATTTTCATGAATTTTTCTTTATAAAACAATAAAAATGTCATCACCCTCTTAAATTTAAGAGTATTCAGTGAATACTATTCACAATGTCTCAAAATATTTCTCTGAACTTATATAAGAACTTATTCAGCATACAATATCTTTAATAAGTTCTGAAATTTTCATTTAAATGTTTTCATTTTCTCTGGTCCCAAATTGAGCCTGTTTTGTATATAAATTAGACCAAACCGGATATAGAGAAACCTGGATACAAGAGATTTCTTCTAGACATACATTATTTTATCCAGGTTACAATGTATAACTAATATTTGGTACTTTAAAAAAAAAATGACAGTAGTGTTTTTGCTTTCATTTTGAGGAAAAACATGTACATTTTGGTTGTACTATATATACGGAGTGCAATTTTTTCTGTCGTTTTTTTTTCCCCCCCCTCATCTATCTTTCGTTTTTCGTTTTCCCCCTCATCTGTCGTTTTCTTTCCCCCTCATCTGTTTTTTTCTTTCCCCCTTCTGTCGTTTTTTTCTTTCCCCTAATCTGTCGTTTTTTTTCCCTTCCTCCGTTTTTTCTCCCTTCCTCTGTCGTTTTTCTCTCCCCCCTCCTCTGTCGTTTTTCTCTCCCCTCCTCTGTCGTTTTTCTTTACCCCCCCTCTTTTGGTCTTTTTTCTTTAAAACCCCCCTTTTTGGTCTTTTTTACCCCCCAGTCTTTTCTTTCTTTACCCCCCCTGTCTTTCCCCTCTTTTCTTCTTTGTCTTTTTTTTCTTCTTTGTCTTTTCCCCTCTTTCTTCTTTGTCTTTTCCCCTCTTTCTTCTTTGTCTTTTTCCCCTCTTTCTTTTTGTTTTTCCCCCTCTTTCTTCTTTGTCTTTTCCCCCTCTTTCTTCTTTTGTCTTTTCCCCTCTTTCTTCTTTGTCTTTTCCCCTCTTTCTTCTTTGTCTTTTCCCCCTCTTTCTTCTTTGTCTTTTCCCCCTCTTTCTTCTTTGTCTTTTCCCCTCTTTCTTCTTTGTCTTTCCCCCTCTTTTTTCTTTGTCTTTCCCCTCTTTCTTCTTTGTCTTTTCCCCTCTTTCTTCTTTGTCTTTTCCCCTCTTTCTTCTTTGTCTTTTCCCCCTCTTTCTTCTTTGTCTTTTCCCCCTCTTTCTTCTTTGTCTTTTCCCCCTCTTTCTTCTTTGTCTTTTCCCCCTCTTTCTTCTTTGTCTTTTCCCCTCTTCTTTTCTTTTTCCCCTTTTTTTTGTCTTTTCCCCCTTTTTCTTTTTCTTTTTCCCCTCTTTCTTTCTTTGTCTTTTTTCCCTTCTTTGTCTTTTTCCTTTTTCTTCTTTTCCCCTCTTTCTTCTTTGTCTTTTCCCCTCTTTCTTCTTTGTCTTTTCCCCTCTTTGTTTTTTTTCCCCTTTCTTTTTTCTTTCCCCGTCATTTGTAATTTTCATACGATTTTTTCCCTCCTTTTTTAAAAGTTAAAAAATATCTTTTTACTGTATCTGACTGAAAATTTTTTTTATTAAACTTTATAAGGTTTGAGTCATTTCAAATTTTTATATGAGCAATAAAATCCAGCTGAACATTTTCTTTTTTGAAAAGATATTGAATTTCAAATGTTTGCTTGCTTGAGTACTTTGAGCACGCAAAATATGTGCATAGTTGAATGAAATTCAGGCTGGTTTTTATAGGTTTTCATTGTGCATATTTGATCAATGTAGGTGTGTTTCTTTTGAAAAAATTCTTTAGAAGTTTACACTTTGTATATCGGTGTAGGGATACTTTTCTTTGAATCTAGATAACCTGTAAGGATTGCTTCATTTATTAAACTTCTGACCAATTTTGTCTGTTTATATTGTTTTCAGTAAGCATCTTAGAACTTGTACTTTTGATTGAAAATCATTCTTGTATTTTTTTTTAATGTTCACTCAAAGTCACTCAAGATAAAGGGTGACTAAGGCGTTTTATATAAATGTACTAAGAGTAAGTAGGAAGAGAAGATTATTAGGTTATGTATTTAACAACAGGATGTGCATTGTGCTGTCAGTAACAGATATTGGCTTGGACTGAGAAATCGGAGAGCTTAGTCTGAATTCCAGTCAGGTACATTACATTCAATTATGCACAAATACTCTTGAGAAAGAGTTCATATACATCTCTTCTCCCTCTGCTATTGGCTGAATAGCAGGAAAGACTGGATTCTATAGCCTTGGTTGGCAACCAGTCTACTACAGAAAGAAATTGCGGGAAAATCTTCTGCCTTGTCAGTCATGAATCAAATGAGACATAATCACCCAAGTGTGTATCACGTATGGCACTTAACTCAATGATTGATTACACAACTGGCTAGTTTCACGAAATACAGTACTTGCTTCATACTGATGTTACACTTTCATTTAGGTAAGACACCATGAAGACTATAAACAAATAACAAATATACCACTCAAGGGAAACTGACAAACAAAATACGTTTGAAGTAAATGTGCAAACAAGGAAAATACTTTTCAAACAGAAATAACAATAATAATTTAGAACAAACTCAAAGAAATGATAAAGGGATACATGGTAACTTAAAGAAAAATTTTATACTTAGTAAAAACCAGATATTTATCATATCTTGTAGACCAACAGTCACTAAAAGGGGTAAAACATGGTTCTTTACTTACCCCTAAAGAGACATGTGGTAACAGATTTGCAGAAAATTACAGATAAAAACATTTGTGTATTTATAAATATACTAGCAGTAGAGCCCGGCGTTGCCCGGGGATATAACAGTAAGAGATAGATCAAGTATCCACCATCATAAAGACTGAAAAATAAAATTGACAAAGATTATTGTTTAAAGTTGACGGACACGCATGTCTTAATTAGTTTTTTTTTTTTTCTTTTTTTTACAAATTGGTCAAACTCTAACAAAAACATTGTTTTCAGTCGTTATGAGTCTACTGATTGAATAGAATTTTATTATAAACAATTGTCTTGTAAATGGAATTTTTAAAGCATTCTGAATAAAAAAAATAAAAAAAAAAAAGTGTGCAAGACAATAAGAAACACTACCTGCCAAAAAAAAAAGTGAAGTTTTGTTGAAATTGGTTGAAAAATGTAGGAAATCCGATCCCCTATATAAATGAACAAACACACAAACAACCAACCTGGGTTTTATAATAAGTATAACTCGATAACTCGATATTAATAAGTATAACTCAATATGAGTTGGCCCCCTTTCATTAATGCCTCTTAATCATGTTTTCAAATTGATTTTGTGCAAAAATAATTGTGTTGTTCCAATTTTTGGCACTGTCAGAACCACCGCAAGGTAATTTTACGTAGTTCTGTGAAGTTTTGTTGAAATCAGTTGAAAAATGTAGGAAACCTGATCCAATATATAAACGTACAGACACACGCACACACACAATCTGCGTTTTATAATAAGTAAGATCAAACTTTCAAAGGTAAAAATTGCAGGTATTTTATTTTTTATAGATGCAAATTTTCAAGCCCAACCTTACTCCCTTTTCCTACATTCTTACAGCAATATTGTCCCCATTGCCTTCCAACAATGTTGTCTCTATTGTTTGCCTTGTAACAACGTCTCTGTTGATTACCTTAGAATAATTCACGAGTTCTTGATTATTATTTAGAAGTTTCCTGCACTTTGATGTCTACAGATCGTTTTCTATGACAAATGTTCTGACAAGTTTCATTCATTAGTTCCACCCAATCCAGACCTTTACTCCTTAGACCTGCTATGCCTTGTAGACAGTTAAATTATCCTCATTCCCTTCATATTCCATTGGTTAGTCAGAATTTACACTCAGGCTGCTTCTTCCAAGGAACTGCTATTTTGCGGAACAAACTCCTGGAAAGACGGTTCCTTAATCACTACAATCTTAACCTCTTCAAGTCTTGCATCGACCATTATCTATCCTACATGACTTCTTAATTTGTACGTATTTCCTTCTCTTATGACAATACAACAACCTTATTCAAAAGCCCAATGAGGATGATTTGACACTGTTCTCTATGAGCTGTGCAATAGTGATTTGCAAAATTCTTAAAAGATGTTGTGAGCTGTGTCTTTTGAGTTTTAGTTAAATAGAAAATAAACAAAATACTAATAAACCTTCTGAGTTACTTTGCTTTTCAAGCTAAGCCAGGATAGTTCTAGAGAAAGTACATTAGTAAGTACTTTAACACCAATCTCGGTTGTGTAAAAGAGCTATACTTTTAGTTATAGATGGGTTGGCAGTAACATCTTCACCAAGTTTTGTTGGGGCTCCTCTCCAGGCTTAAGTTGAAACTATTGTTTGACATTTCCTCTATATTGCAACAACTGTTTTTTTGTGTGTGTATGTACAAATGCAAATCTTTATTTTTTATTTTATTTTTTTTTTTTAAAGTAATACTATCTCTGACCTGTATAGACAAGTTTTTCATTTTACTACAAACATCACTGAGTGTACAAACTAGACACAAGTGGGGTTGAATGAATGTAATAGGTGGATTAAATCAGTCACTTATGTGCCATGCATGATACACACAGGTGATCATGTATCTTTTGATATATGACTAACAAGGCAGATTATTTTCCTGCAGTAGGTTGCCATTTTTTTCTGTGTTAGACCAGTTCCCATCCAAGGCTATAGAACCTGGTCTGTCCTGTTATTTACCCATGTCTGGAGAGACAAGAAGAGGATTCATACCTTTTCCCCAAGGGTATTAGCATGTAAATGAATGCAATGGATTTGACTGGAATTCGAACTCTGCTCTCCAATTCCTCAATCCAAGCTGCTGTCCATTACTCCCCTGTGGTGTAATGTTTAGCAAGCTTCTCTTGCTAGATCAATTACAACTGTATAGTGAGTTCTATCCTCATTGGGTACTTCAAACTTTCAACCTTGTGCCACATCTAAGCTACACTTAGAAATTCATTTTTTTGGCATCATGCCATATTTGTAGATTTTTGTACAATAAATATAATGAAATAGTTAAATTTGCTGTTAAAAAGCAAGTCATTTGGACAATTTTACATCTGAATATAAAAAAAACAAAATAGGGAAGAAATCAAATTTATCACATGTTTACTGTTATTTAGTTAGTTGGGAAGTTTTATATGTAAGTGGTGTTATTTGATGCAAAAGATCATGTTTAGGGCTGCAAGTAATACAAAACTTTATGTTGTTCATTAATATAAATATTTATACAAAGTTGTGTATTGTTATCCATTACCGTAATTTTTTCATTATGCTTTTAAATGCAAAATGGTTGACAATGTGCTGGAAAAAGATCAAAAGTACTTGGGAAGTGAAAATAAAAGAAATTTAAACAGCTATAGCACATTTCTCTCATCCTTTAACATCAATACATGGAAGGTTATTCGTGAGTATGAACAGATTTTGTTAAAAATTAGCAGACATTCAATTAGACATGCCTAAAAGAGAATTTGCTGCCTAAAAGAAAATTTATATATATATATATATATATATATAATATATATATATATATATATATATATATATATATATATATATATAATTTTATTTTTTTAGTGGATACCCATCTTTGAGTTGACACTCTATTTTAAACAGTATTTATTTTGTCTATCAACCTGAACATTCAAGAAATCTTATTGAAGAAAATGTGTCCTCTGGCAGGATTCAAACTTGCATCCCCTTTTCAGGAGAAACAATTGTTAGATCCAACATGCTTTAACCAACTCAGCTATGAAGGGCATCATGATCAAGCAAGGTTTTTATTTGTTATTTTAACCCATTCAGATCTTTGGAAGTTCATAACTCAGCAATTTTTTCTCTGAAACATAAACAAAGCTATTTCTAAAGAAATAGTTTTTATTTATTTATTAATCCAATATATTTTATTACTTTAAATAAAATAAATTGCTAAAAACATGTTGGATTAATAAATAAAAAATGCGTTATTTCAGGACTTATTCACAAATGAAGAAAATTGTTTTTGAAATCTTTTTTTTTCTTTTTAAAAAATTTTGGTGAAAATACTTTTTTTTTTCTGTTACACCCACTTACTTAATTTTGAGAAATTAAAATTTCACGCCCTTCATATTTATATTAGTTAAAAGCAGAACTTAAACTATCAATTTTTATTTATTTTTATTTTTTTTTAAACAGAAACAGCATTTACTGAAAATTTGCTCTGAATCATAAAACACAATAAAACTGACATTTAATTAGAAAAGCTTTTCATTGGTTTTTTATAAATAAAATATATTAAGGACACTATTGTCTTAAGAAAAAAAATTATTTTTGATGAATAATTTTTGAAAGAATTGTTTTAATTTTTTTCATTTTAATTTGAATAATTTATCAAGTTTTAAATCTTAAAATTCTGTATTAATTTCACTGTTTTAGATATTATTAAGTAAAAATTATATTTACTAATCATAAATGTAAAAGCTTAAAACAAATTATCAAACACCAATAATTTTAAAAGAATTTAA